GAGAATTTAATGTGAAATATCATGCATGAATCTAATGGTTCCAATACAATTCATGTTAGGAATACATCTAAATGTTCCCTTAGTGAGATTATTGTAAACCTTTCCATTCTGATGATTCAAAATAGATTTCCATTAGCAGATGTATACAAAGACGGAAAGTTAGAAGCCCAATAGTTCTTTTTCTTCTTCCCTCTTTTTCTTGAAATTTTAATTCTTGATGAATTTCCTTCATTTATGCCTTTTATTAATGTGTGTGTTTGTGTGTGTGTGTCTGTGGACAGATGGACCGATTCAACACAATGGAGTCCTTAACACAATAATCAGCTCAAGAATATAATCTTTATCATATAATAAATACTTTTATGCAGTCTTCAGTATACTTTTACTCCTAATGTTATATACTCCACTCTGGATGAAATATGAGATAGTGTTCTGCTGGTAATATTGACATAATAAATTACAATTAATATTGATAGAATATTTTTGCCTTTTTCTATTTCCTACATACTAAGTTATTAAAATAGCAATGCCAATAGTTTTTTAATTAATATTGCATAAAGGTCATTGTATTAAAACAATCCAATACAATGTTGTAGGATTTATTACAAGATATTAAAAATAATACAACAAATTTCCCAGCTTCTGATCCAGGCTAATAATTATATGCTATATGTTTTCCCTAGAGATAGTTTCTGCTCATCAAGAATCTTCGTGAAAGCATTCAGGTCTATAGAGAACCTACTGTATCTTAATCTGTGCTATAGAATCAGGATCCCATAAATGCCTTTACCATGTTTTCTCTGGGAAATATACACTTTGCTTCTGTAAGAGCGTGCTTGAAAAAGTAAAATTCTTTCTAATGTCACATTGATTTTTGAAGCACAGGGAGAATGAAAGAGTATTTCGAAGGCTACATGATGTTCAAAGACTTTTTAAAAGCCATGATGCTGCTTGGTGCTGCTTTTTTTTTTGCAAGAATTTAGTGGAATGAGATAATAAGCTTCACACTGTTTTCAGGATAACCTCTTCCCAACAGCATAAAAGCATCAGACCCCATCCTTCTCTGCCTGGAGAAAATCTCAGATTTGTTAACCTCTGTACCCTTGTTCAGGATAAGGGTGGATTTTTTTTTATAGTTTTCACTGTATGCCTGCCTAATTTATAGTTATGTTTTTTCAGTCATTATTTATCAAAAAGACAAGCCATATTAGATCTGTGACTGTATGTGAGAGGATAGGCCTTTAATGCAATGAAATTTATATAAGAAGTGTAGTTCCTTATGTTGTTCTAGCATTGTGAAACTAAACTGCCTTCAGTTATGCTTCTTTTCTTGTTGTAAATGGAGGATTACTTTGATGGCTCATAACTGCTACTGGCAATGTATGCCTTTTGTAATCTAAAATATTTATATTTAATACTTTGTTCTTAAATAGGTGTTATCCACACAGGGGTGGGTTCCTGCCAGTTCTAACCTCTTCTATAGAAGAGGTTCCACAAATCTACAGTGCCGTTTAGAACTGGTTCCAGCTCCCTCCCTGCGCCTGTCCGCACATCATCAAGATGAAGAGCGAGAGGAGAAATTCTGGGAGTTGAAGTCCACAAGTCTTAAAGCTGTCAAGTTTGAACACCCCTGGGGAGGGTTTCTAAAGGGTTAGGGGTGCAAGTGTCTTGTAACTTGACAGCTTTAAGACTTGCGTGCTTCAAATGCCAGAGTTTCTGAGCCAACATTTTGGTTGCTAAGCAAGAACGTTGTTAAGTCAGTTTCACCACATTTTACAAGTTGGCCATGCCCACCCAGTCACATGGCCGGCAAGCCACTCCCACAAAGCTGTCCACACCTACAGAAGAGATTCTAAAAAAATTTGAAACCCACCACTGTATCCACAGCATTATTTTTCCAGCAAAATTTCTTGGAACATTAAATAAAATGATTATTTTCTAATGTACAACTTTGAAAATTCATTCTTCCAATTTCTACTGAGCTCTATGTAATCGCAATATATTTTAAATTGCCAGAAAATTGAATGTGACAAAATTTAGTGAAGGATAGACGTAGTCCTCAATTTACAACCATTCATTTAGTGTCTGTTAGAAGTTATAACAGCTTTGAAAAAAACTTGACTTATAACTAGTCCTTGGACTTATGACCCAAGCAGTATTCCCACGGTCACATGATCACAATTCATCCACTTGGTAACCAGCATGTATTTACAAAGCCTGCAGCACCCCGGGGTCAGGTAATTGCTATTTATGACCTTTGCAACCGACTTCTGACAAACAAAGTCAATGGAGGAAGCCAGATTCACTTAACAACTGCATATTAAACATCATGGCAAAAGTCATAAAATCAGTTGTGACTCATCTTGCTTATTCTGATCCAGTGGTGGGATCCTGTAGGTTTAACAACCAGTTCAATGATCACATGCTTTACACGCAGGTGCAATTTTTTAAAAACTTACCTTCTGTGTTACTGAGTCACACCACTGAGGCATGGCAATCTGCTCTGCCGCATGAATCAGCTGAGTCAATAGACAGGTAGGCAGGCCCACTTGATTGTCAGAGCAAACCGGTTCGCTCCCAGCAGATTGTCGGAGCTACCAGTTCACCCGAACTGGTCCGAACCAGTAAAATCCCACCCCCTGTTCTGATCCCAATTGTAGTTGTAAGTCAAGGACTACCTGTACTTGAATTGAAAAAGAAGTGTAACTTTTTTAAAGTAATAAATTGTTACGGCCCACACTCATTTACCATAGGGAACTTTTTACCTTGTTGAACTTACCTCCCTGGCAGGCTTGCTCACTTAAATACTTTTTGTTTCCAGGCAAGATAAGATTTTTTTGTAAATAAATGTACACTGGGAAAGCCAAACTTCTCAATGTGTTGAAAAATAAAACATCACATGGATTCCTAATCCTAAGATTACTAAACCTCATTAAAAGAAGCATTAAGGAATCTTTTTACCCTAAATGGGTAAAAGGAGAAGCAGACATACTTGATTCTGAAGAACAGACCAAGAAGTAGAAAGGGAATGAACCAGCTATGCAAAAAATGAGATCCTTGAAGAAAAGGTGCTATGAACACTTGAATACAGTGTAGTAATCTATATATGTATATTTCTATCTATCTGGGCAACCAAACCAAGTATGTCATCATTTTCCCCCCATCCTTTCTCTTCCAGTCTTTTTCATGATTTTGTGTATTTTAGAACATAACCTTGAGGAGCGGAAATTTTATTAAATTTTATTAATTTAAAGAATTGTTAGACTGCCCGACTGACAGTTTGTGACTCTGGGCATAGTACATCAATAAAAGTGCAAACTAATAAAATACAGTGCATAGTTGAGGCTGGGCATAATAAAACTGGGAGCTTGTTGGATTGACTGTTGTAGTAAACAAGCTTTAAATAAGTAAAATAAATAATGACCATGTGGTCTGCTTTTAACGAGGCAGCCTATCTGCATTTTTTACTAATCATTCAGACAAATGGCATATTCTTCACTAAATTGATGCCAATTTATTTAGAGAAACTTTGAGTTGGGAATGGGGAAAATGTAAACGCCTGCATAGATCTTTAAGGAACTAATACATTAACTAGTGGAAGTAGGTTATAAGTAAAAGAGCAAAAATTTTCCAAGTTGCCTTCCAAGTGACTATCTGATAATACCACCTGGTGTTGAGAAAAGTAATAGCACTACAATATTTTCCACTTTTGTAGTAGCTGATCACATAACTTTGAGCTGTTAAATGCTCCCTTTCAGACGAGCTCTTTAGCAGCTGGCTTAAATGTCTTCAGACAGCTGACATTTACTGGAAATGTTTAGTCAAAGAATGGTATAATTCCTTCTAATAATTAACTCAGGGAAATAGATGAATAACTGCAATTAGCAACGTCTAATTGATGTTGCTTAGTAAAAGAAGAAAGCATTCCTGACTATCCTTTAAATTCAGCAAAGGAGGTTGTACAAAAGTTAATCCCTACTGAGTTTAATTTATATAACAAATGGAATAGACTATTCTTCCTGCAAAATATGTCTTTCAAATCTGTTCATATATGTCTCTCATAACCCTCCAGCCAGCATAGCTCTTGACCACATAGGATGACTATGGTTGTAATCCACCCATTATTTGGGAATCTTTGACAGTCTTTGTAAAGAACATTTGTACTTCACTGGGAAAAAAACATGGGGGCAGGTTAGTGTTAGATGCAGAACTGTAGTTTATAGCATTCTTCTTTGTTGTTGTATAATGATTGAGATGGAAAAGAGTTGTGTTTAGAATCATTAGGGGGGTCATTGGATCAAATAGGCTGGCCTACTAAATAGCCATGAAATCAATATTCTTCTCCAGGTAGCACGATACATATTAAAGATAAACCTATATTCTGAGTTTCTGCAGAATGCATGGTAGGAAGTCCTAGATGACAAAAGGAATTTAGACATCACTGTCTTCAATGTAAACTTAGCTGATTTTGCCTGCTACATTGAATATCCTTAAGATGTTATTATCCTAATGCAAACAAAGAAAAATATGTCTATTAGCTGTGCTGAAGTGCAAAGGCCTTGCTTAGTTCGCCTTTGCTGTAACTTGCTTCTTAGATGTCCTAATGTAGTATTACGTGGCAGGATAAAATAAAGTTGGAGTATTGTTTTTAAAAGATTGAATTAGGCTGTAGATTCTCAGTCATCTTGATCATGACTGTCCCAAAGGTACTTTTTTCAGGAGGCAACTGGTCTTCCGTGGTTTTTCTTTGAAGATGTTTCACTTCTCATCCAAGAAGCTTTTTCAGCTCTGACAGGATAGTGGAGAATGGAAGGATTTATATTCCTTGTAGATGTTTCAAAACTTAAAAGTAGACAACTGGTAATTTGTATCCTTTTAGAGGGCTGTTGAAGCACTTGGAGGTTTATCTGTGTCCTCAGGGTTACCTGAATAGTGTAGAAAGTACTGTTGCTTTATCTAAGAAGCAGCATTATTACTGACATCTGTCTTTATGCTGACAGGAGTAGGAACTCCCAGGGGAAAGCTTACTACTGCAAAGGCCTTATCAGGATCTTCAGCTAGTTCTGGCCTCAGTTCAAAGGTGCCCATTAGAAGACCAGGACTTCAGAGAACCTCTAGCATCTCTTCAGTCAGCAGCACTCAGAGTGACCAAAGCACTTTCAGCAATAATTGTAAGTTGATTTTAGAGATTATTGTTTAACAAATAATTGAATAAAACCCATCATGGTTCATTATAACTGCTTTTTTTCTTCAGCAAAAGGTGGTCACTGGTAATTCCAGAATTCCAAACGTTCGAACTCCTATGTTGCAACAGCACCTAATAGCTTTAGATGGTGTTTTGGCCCAAATAATGTAGATCAAATTTATCCTTCTCATTTTGTAGACTTCCTAAAAGACTATTGTTCACAAGTATTGATGAATGCTTAGAAATGCCTGGCTGATACACAGAAGGAATTAATGTTTCACAACCTTCTAATGAAAGTTGTTACTGGGATTTTTTTTTTATTACTGCTTTGAAATGAGTAAATGAAGCAATGTACCGATTTGCCAATGGCAAGAGCATTGTGCCATATTAAAGAAAATCAAACCTGCCATATAAGGAAGAGTGATCTTGGGCTAAAATGTATGAGCTAGGGAGGCAAGCAGTACTATAGCGTCAATAATGATGTCTTTTTGCTTTCCTTGCAGTTTTGAACTGCTATCCCTCCTCCCTCTCCCTCGTGCAGTGCATTTTAAAAGGACAGCCCTGCTATTTAAGTTTTGCAGCATGCCTTTCTCCTAACCACAGATTGGCCCTGAATTGACAGCCATGTTGCCCACTGGTTGGTCTGTTTACTTCAGTGCCTGAATCACCTCAGGAGGTTGTAAACAGTCTGTGCAATTCTATCCTCGCTGCTAACAAAGGAAAGGGTTTTGCTTCTTAACAAAGAAATGTCATGGTTTCCAGTTCCAGTTTAAAGATTGAACAACGGATGACCTTTTCTTAAGTCTGATTTGCTAGTTGGATTAAGCTGCTCTTGTTTCCTGCCTTGAAGCTTACTATTCTCTCTACCTCCCACCCACCCCTCCCACCCTCGATTGTAATTCACTAAGAGCAAGCGTGGGGAATACGCGAGGGTGAACATGGCTGCAGTCTTTCAGGCGCTGAGCTTGCTTTGATCATTTTAAATGACTGTATCAGGAGGACATCGCAGTTGCACAGAAACCGACTTCTCTCCTCATATTTTCATCAATTCTACCCTCACACCACCGGCAGACTCAGGAAGCCACTACGATGTTACCTTACTGACCTTGCTTGTAGTGGGATCGTACAGCTTTTGTATCATTCCTTTGTTAGCCACATTTTCTGGCAGAAGAAGTAGGTGACTGTCCTTTTATATCTATATCCCTATACTTCTGTCTGTGGATAGAAAAAGGCAGCAGCGTGCCTTGCTTTTGTAAATGAAGGGAATGTATCAAATGAAATGCTTTTCCATTCTGTCTTTCTTGAAAGAAATCATGATGGAGAAGAGAGGGAGGAATATGTTTAATTTCTCATGAAATAATGCATGCTTGATGCATATTCTGCACTCTTTAAGAAAATCTGGAAAATACATTAGACAAATTCATTTCCAGCTGTTGACTTTTGTGTTCCTGATGATCTTATACCTGGTTTTTATAAGTATATGCTTCCTCCCCCAAAAAACCTCTGTTCTCACCCTCCCTTTTGTCAGCATGTGAATTGCTTTGCTCAATACACTTGATTGTCTGCAATAACCACTACAGAATTCCTGTCAAGGTTTAAGCAACTTCAGTAAAGACAGTTATAAATTAAAACCTAATGTATATTTTTGCATGATTGCAGATGTGCTATTTTTTTTAAAAAAGACAATCTTAGAGCAGCAGTTATTCATTTAATATAGGCTCTATGCTTTGTGTAATTTGCTTATAAACTGTGTGGATCCTGTAATGTTTGTGAGCATTTTTTATGTGAGACTGTTATCTTCTTCTCCATAACCCCCAACATTAATCAATTGTTTTGGCTTAAAACTGCAGCATTTAAACTGAGGCTATTTAACAGCTGCTATTGTCTATAGTCTGAATGGTTCCTCAGAGGTGTAAGTCTAAAGAAAATCACAGTGGAACAGTCTGGAGCAAAGGGATGAAAAGAAAAAAGAAAAGCCCTTTCCGCCTTTTGCATATTTTGGAATGTTGAATATTCAAAGTGGACTTTCTCCTTTCACAGGAATAACCTTGTAGCCTGAACTGTGAACATGGCAGTTGTGATTGAAATGATAAAATAATAATAAAAAACTTTAAATTACCTGCAATTGTTTAAACTATTAAATAATAGGTTACAATATTTTGTGATCTTGGGAGTTATAGCTCATGCTTCTAAATGAACTTTTCAACAAAGTATTCATTGTCCCTAAAGCTTCTAAACAAATAAGTTTTTCTTATAATAGAGCAATAGAGAAAGCATTAGTCCTTCAGATTGTGAAGATAATTGTCAGAAACACTTGGCCAATTTCAGGAACAGTCTTTTCATTCTAGCTAATAAAACAGGTATTGAATAGAAAAAATGAATATATTCACTTATTACTGAATATTGAGGAGAAAATAGCATGTTTCAGACAAATAAAAAGACAGCAATCTATGTTATTAATTGGCTAGTATATTTCACATCATAATCCAAAATATTATTCTTTTTCAGTTGTTGAATCAGTCTTAACAATGTGACAAGTCCATGCAGTTGACTTCTGTAACTAAGCTAGAACTTAGACTAGAACATAACCATTAACATTAGACCATGTTCACCCTGATATCAATATGTGTGTGTCCATGCGTACCTTTGAGTCAATTTTTCTATTTTTTTGCTTTGACTCCTGATTGCCTGGACTAATCCCTACATTTTTCTTGGCAAGGTTTTTCAGAAGTGGTTTGCCATTGCCTCTTTCCTATAGTGACTGAGCCAAGATCAGTAAGCTGGCTTTGTGCTTAAGATGGACTAGAATTTACCGTTGTCTTGTTTCTAATCCAGTGGTAGTCAACCTGGTCCCTACTGCCCACTAGTGGGCATTGCAATCTTAATGGTGGGTGGTAGGGGTTTGCTGTAACTCTGCTTTATAAATTTTATAAAGTAAAGTTACTTCCCTACTTTATAAATCACAATTACTGTGGAACCGGTAGACGGTTAGAAAATTTTACAGAATATTTTGAATATTCTCAAAATGTGGTCATCAATAAACTTGCAGTTTATGTTTTTTTCCCCAATAGCTACAAGTGCTACTATTATCAAGAATGGAGAATGGACTCCCAAATCTGCATGTCAGAATGGTACTGCCGTCTCTCTAAAGCCGGTGCCCAGGCCACGACTCCTTTCACTGAAAAGTGGATCGAAAGGTATTTGATCTCAGCAAGGATATATGAAGCAGTGATTGGCTGATGGTAATTACCATTTTAGAGAGAAACATACTGGGAAGATGACAGAAGATTGTTGATTCCTGTTGTTTTCATATCCACAACCCTGATGATAAAAAGTTTCTATTAAAAAGCTGATATTGATTGAAAACACTTAAGTTTGCAGTCATAGTGCTTATCTTTTTTTAAGTTGGAAATAACACTATTAAATTAAATTTAATAGGCAGAAAGGCCTTACAATCCTTAAACCAAAAAGTGGATTGTAATGATTTTTCTTGTCCAGGCATTGGTTATCTTGATAACCTGAAAACAGTTTGAGATCAACTAATAAAGCTCCCTGAAGGTAACTTCCTATTTGAGAGCTTTTTTGTTTTTGTTTTTTTGGAAATTCTATGAAATGCCTTGTCTTTTCTTTATCTCCTTGGTTAATCATCTATTACAGATACTGTCACCATGGTAGCTGATTAACTTGACTGCTTTATGTAGATTGGAACCTTGAAGAACAGAATTGCTTAAATATAAATATGTTTAGCTACAAATTTATCAGTATAAAAAAGAAGACTTGGGCCTGTTTGGATGACAGTTGGCTGTTATTTTGTCTACGTATATTGAGCAGGAGAATAGAACTATAGAAACCACAATTTCTCACGATCTTGATCAACAGTAAAAGGAAAGATCATTGGCTTGCTTTCTGCTAGAAGGCTTAAGTGTCCTGAGAAGGATCTGCTGCTAATTTGGATCTTTTCCCAACCTTCATTCTGCAGTCATAGGATTTGAAGTATACAGCTTGGATAACCATTTGGAAGATAACAGATTGGGGAAGTTTGTTCTTAGTGGACCCAGTGCATGATAGAATCATTCAGTGGGAATTATCCTATGTTCATCTTCCATCATTGATTTCGAAAGAGCAATTTTACATATGTGGGATGAAAGAGGAGCAGAAACTGCAGAGCAGCTTCTGGGTTTTCCTTAGAAAGAAATGAAAATCCTTCATCAGTCTGGTGCCTTCCAGATGTGAACCAATCACTCCCAGCTAGCATAGCCACTTTGAAAGTTGAATATGTAGCATGCTTCTGCTAACTTTAAAAAGGAGCTGATGTTTGTCCATAGTTTTGAGGTATATTTGATACTTTACGTACTGTATCCTAACATAATTATTTTATGGATTTTTTTCTTAAGGAGCAAAAGGTAAATTAGCCTTAGTGAACCAATGTGTTCCCAAATCTTCTGGAGCTATTATTCTTCCAGGGAAAAAACCAAATGATCCAAGAGGGAGTCAACGATTAGGTAAAATGATCATTTCGTTCTTGTGTTGAATTGATGTAATTAAGATGAAAATCTACATATTTTATGCCTCCTTTTCTGTCACTAATCTGTTAATTAATTGGTATGACATTTGCTCAGTTTATAAGATCTAAGTTGGGCAAATGTGATTAAACTAGATTTTGAATATTTTACTCTATACAGAAAGATTTCTACCATTTTTTTCGGGGTCTGGGCAAAATTCTCATTTACTGATTAAATCAGTTACAAAATCCATTAAGATGCTAGACTAGCATTGGAGAATCTGGAATGAAGTCCACCTTTAGCCATAAACACTTACTGAATAATTTAGAGTCAACCAGTCCAACCTATTTCACAGGCAGGTTGTTAGAGAAAAATGGAAAGTGAGAGAACTACATTTTATTTATTTTTATGTATTAATTTATCAAATCTACACTGTCCAATTTACTAAGTGACTCTGGGCAATTTACAAACAATATATATTCTATTGAAGGAAAGACAACTAGTAAATCTAGCAATTATACCAACTTGGGAACCCTGATCTCGGCTATAATTGCATATTCATTTCTGAAAGATCATGTGAAGATATTTGAGATTGTTCCACACATTCCTTGTCTCAAATGAAAGTAGGGAATAAATTAAATCTTACTGGCAGACTTCATTTCCTACGGGTTTTCCAGGAATCAATAATTAATGATAGGCTGCTACAATTAGATTAAATCACATATCTGGGGAATTCCTAACCCTTCCAGCGAAGTGTTCTCTATTCAGGCTACCCTTAGGAAAGACAGATTTTTAGATCTTTTTGCCTAAAAATATAAACTGCAGAACACAGTAAACTTTGGATCTTGAAAATAAGATGACAATACAATCTTACATATATGAAAGTTTTTTACGGAAAATTTAATTTTAAACAAAATCAAATGTCCATATCAGAGGATTTCAAACTTTTTCAGATGAGAGACAAAGGGATTCCCATATCTCCTCAGAAGACTTAATTAAGAGACAAAACTTGAGTTATAGAAAACTGTCGGCCTTTTTCACCTTACTGGGTCTCTTGATGGAATTACAATTTTTCATAGAACACAGGATTGACAGAACCAACTTTGAAAATTCCTGCTCTAAAGGTCAGAAAAGGTGTATTTTTTGTCCTCCCAAAAATTTCTTTCCACTTTTATTAAAAAGGGGAGACTGCTTGGGAGAACAAAAGATTAATTCCATGTAAGTATGACTTTAGTGATAGATCATAAGCTACAACAATCAATGAATTCAGAAAGACTCAATATGGAGTAGCAGGCTTTGAGTGGAAAAGCACCCAAATCCCTCCTGATTATCTTTTCACAAATATTCCAGAAGCGGTATCTGTCCTTTATTAGAAGCAGAACTTTTAATAAGTTAAATAAAACTATATCCTTTTGATCTCCTAGTGTTAATATTCAGTAGCTGATACTGAGACAAATATTTTGATTTCAAGATCCAAACATATTTAAATGTTTTTGCAGGTAAAGTCTAATATGATCTATGGAAACCTCTCATAATGTGTTCATTTTGGTGATGAGTTACATGCCAAATTAGAACTTTATCTTTTTCAGGACCTTCAGCACAAAATGGATCCAGGCATTTATTGTCACCATTCAGCTCTGGTGAGTAGTTTAGTCTTTCCCTTACATTCACTCCTAAATGTTTTATGCCATCACAAAATATTCCTGCCCTGAAATGTATAATATAGGTGTTTTGGAAAAGTTACATTTGTGTAATTACATAACTTACAATGGTGAATGCTTTGTGGGTCTAATAATTTGATGCTTAAATGCACAGGTCTTACATATGCTGATGAAGCTGCATTTCCCATTTCCATGTCTTGATCAAATGTTTATGCATTACTTGGCCCTCTTGGATCAGTCATAGAGAAGTTTGAATGTTTTTGTTAATACCAGGGGTATCAAACTGGTGGTGTGTCACATGCAGGCCATGCCCAACCCAGTTTCACACATGGGAAATAACAAAATAACTATCCAGCATCCTTCTTGTTCCCATTGATCTCAGCAGCTTCATACATGATAAGTTCAAGCTTACATTTAAAGATATCATCATCACATTTAATTTTGTCCTGATATAATAAATATGTTGATTCTGTGGTTTTCTAATAGAGCAGTGCTGAATGGGACTTTTAGGCTCCTACCCTTGGCTATGCCTGCCTCTCCACCAGGGTCCCACCTCCATGCATTAACCTCTAGCTTTTCCTCTTGGCCAGCCCGCCCCTAGCTATTCACCCTGGCCAATGGCCCACAGCCCCTCTGTCCCACACCCTTTGGCATGGCCCATTTGCTGAAACAGCTTTTGTCCTGAGCCTTTGACCACCTGGGACAGTTAGCCTCCAGCCAATCAGCTAACTGCCAATGCTGGCAACCAGAAGCCATGGTGCAATTGATTGCAGGGTCTGGGGGAATTTGGGGGAGGTGGTGAAGCCAAACAGTCTTAGGTGCTTGTTAGGAGAAGGAAGGGGAGGGGGTGGAAGCTTCTCTGTACCTGATCGTGCCTCCCTGACACAGAATGGGCAGTGTTCGTTGCTGCAACTGCTGCCTGGGTTTGGTTGGAAGGAAAGAGTGGGAAGAGGGTACAATATAACAGGACATGATCTGTGGTTTAGTGGCCACGTCTACAGGGGCACATTTTCAACTCATAATGGGGCTTTTGGAGATTGAGCCTTCAGAGCTGCTATGGGAAAGCTGTTACATCAGACTAGAATTAATGTCCTCCACAATTTAGAACCAGTTATATAAGTATTTCACTGGCTTACGGAGGGTGGGGGCTGAGTGCTAAAGAAAATATTATTAGATAGACTAAACAGGTCCTGTTGGAATTATCCTGTTGTTTATTATCTGCATTTCTAGTTGTTTTCTGGAGATAGAACATAATTACATAATTCTTATTTGATTTGATGTTTTAAAGATATTTTAAATATTAATAGTAAAGCCAGCATGGCCCAGATTTGGCAACTATTGTATAATGCTTCATGTAAAAATCACGAGAAGGCAAACTACTCAAAGCATAGAAGTGTGGGAAAGTTACAGATATTACTTATGTTAATGTTTTATTGGACTGTCTCAATTACTCAAGGCAGAGGAGGGATTCAGCTGGTTCGCACCAGTTCAGGCAAACCGGTTAACTTTTTGCCCAATTCTGAGAACCAGCTAATCCCACCTTTGGCCTGCCACTCCCTGGAGTTCCCCCACATATAAGGTGACCAGATTTTCAGATTGGTAAAGAGGGACACCTTTGACCGGGGGGGGGGGGGCTTGATTAAAAATTTTATATGGAGCAACAAAAATTTTCATACAACGCAAAAATAGTATTGTAATATTTTTTATTTCAACATAACTACAATTTACAAATATAAATTGTAATTGTTGCCAAACATCAAAATTTTGATCACATGACCATGAGGATGCTGCAACGGTCGCTAAGTGTGAAAAATGGTTGCTAAGTGTGAAAAATGGTTGCTAAGTGTGAAAAATGGTCACTAAGTGTGAAAAATGGTCATCAGTCCCTTTTTTCAATGCCATTGTAACTTTGATCACTAAACCCATTATACCACCTTTCTTGCCACAGTTCTTAAGTGAATAACTGCAGCTGATAAGTTAGTAACATAAGTGAATCTGGTTTCCCCATTTGACTTTGTCAAAAGGTCACAAAAGGCAATTACATGACCCCAGGACACTGAAACCATCATAAATATGAATCTGTTGCCAAACATCAAAATTTTGATCACGTGACCATGAGGATGCTGCAACGGTTGCTAAGTGTGAAAATGGTCGCTAAGTGTGAAAAATGGTCATCAGTCACTTTTTTCAATGCCACTGTAACTTTGGTCACTAAATGAACTGTTTGAAAGCTAAGGCTATTTCAAAGTATTGTGCATAGAATTTTACAAAATGGTTTATTTCAATTTATTTTGGATAGAATCTTTTTTTAAATAGTCTAAGACAATTTAAAAAAAGAATCCACACAGAATAAAACTATTTTAAAAAATCCTATGCACAATAAATAAAATATTATTTTAAAATACATTAAAAAAATAAAAGAAAAAAAACCCGGCTCACTTACCAGCAGGCAGGCACTCCAAGTCAATCCAGAATGATGTAGATGTTAATACAAAGAACTGAGCAAATTAAAATGGTGAAATTAGTCCCAGGGAAATATTTTTCAAAGAAACCTTCCACAATTTTTCCCATACAAGCCGACCTCCAACCTCCGTACCCCTCCCATCCGGGAAATCCAGGAAGGAACAGTCGCTACTTCTCTAGCCAAAGTATTTCCTGGAACTCTATGGTACTGGGTCATCTTTTCTTATAAAACGAAGTAAAAGGGGTGGGGGGGGGTTCCGTTTTCTTGCTTTAATGTTTTAATATCTTCAATGAAAGTACTGAGACATAGAGAGGGTTTAGACAGAGTGTCTTTTGTCTTGCCCCGGTTAGGATTTTTTAAGCAAATCCACTGTGCTTTCAACATGAAGCCAAAATCGGGGCTTTTTAAAAACGCCACGGGACAAATTATTAGAAATTGTGACTGTCCCACCAAAATTGGGACGTCTGGTCACCTTACCCACATACCCCGTTTTCCTTCCAGGGTGGTGTAGGAGGCCTTCCAGGCCCAAAATGGAGTACAGGGGGCATCAGGCTCCCCATGCCTTGTTTTGACTTCCAGGATAGTGCAGGAGACACCCTTGCACTAGGATGAGATGGGAATGGGGATTTTGAATTATCATTAATGTGGGGTGAATTGAGAATGGGGATTTTGAATTATGATATAAGTACGTACTAACCAGTAAAAGAGGAATGGAAAAAATCCCTATCTATAGATCAGCATTTTTAAGTCTTGGCAAGTTTAAGATGGGTGAACTTCATACTGCCTGGGGAATTCTGGGAATTAAAAGTCCATGTACCTTGAAGTTGCCAAAGTTGAGAAGCATGGGTCTACACTAGAGCTTAGGATTTTCCTTTCCTGTTTGGTGCAATTAAATAAATCAGTTGTGGTTTCATTAACAAATAGTGATTAAAGTGAAATGAACCATTACTGGACTTTTTGTGAGAAACTGAAATTAAAAGTTGATCTGGGTTTTGATGATTAATAAGGCATATGGAAATAATGTAGACAAATGTTAATCTTAGAGTAAGAGTTTGATGTATGTTTTACTTATATCTGTACCAAAGAAAGTTGGAAATCATTCTTTTTTAGTTTTCCTTCTTTTTCTCTTTCTTTCTTACACATTTTTTTCTTTCCTGAGCCTGTTTTTTATTTGTTTATCCCTTAGCTTTGTATTATTATTTTTTTGATGTATGAAGGATCAAATAATCAGCCATCATAATTCTACATTCCTTATTTACAGAAATAATATCAAAATTTAGAATCAAATCCACTGGGAGCCATTTCATATAAGGCAGGCTCTGAATCCCTCTAACCAAAAAGTGTTTATTGACAGAATAAAATATTTGTAGCTCAGGGTTACACTGTGGGTTCCTTGGTGCTCTCTGAGCTTGATAGTTTTCGTGCAGATGTTTCATTACCAAACTAGGTAACATCATCAGTACTGGAGTTTGCTCTTATTTCCATATACTAGTGGCTTACCCTGTCAGTGTTGATCAGTTGCTTCACAAAAAGTGTTTTTATTGGTTCAGGGTCTCTACAGCCTCAGGCAGAGAAGGGCTATTCTGCACCCCTCCATCAAATGTTCTTTAAAATACAGAGTTCCCCAGCATTCCTTTAGGAACCTCCAACGTGCAAGCTGTGGTTACTCATCCTAAAATGAATCCTCTTTACCCGAAGCTTCAAAATTTGCTGTTTGCTGGGAAGATGTGTAGCTAAAAGTCAGTCTACATTTAGTGTACATCTGAATTTGGGGATATTTCTTCATAACCAAACAAAAGTGTATTTTCTATGCAGTTCACACCTCTTGCTTGCTGGATCTGGATGTCACACAGCAAAGCCCACATTTTGTAATTAACCCCCACATCCCGTTTTGGCTGGCAGAGTACAGGAGGCTGAGTTCTGTCATGCCCCCTGGCCATGCCCACACAACTCCCCCAGCAACACTCACCCAGACGGTCATTAAGACAGGGAACTGATTGTTAAAATTATTTGAATCCAATCACTGAAATAAGATACAAGCTTTCAAGTTCTCAGAAGTTTTCATTAGCCATCATTACAAACAAAATAAATAGAAATAGGAAAAGGAGAAAAAAAATATAGTGTTAAAACCACAGAGCCTTCATTCTATCACATACTTAACACAGAAAAGGAAAGGGGGTGTTGTGATCAGGTTTTAGTTTGCGTTAATATCCATGCTTGGAAAAAAGGCTGCTGAAATGTGTGTCTTGTGAGTTAAAATCCATCTGATGAATCTAGAATTTGTCCAGCCATTAAAGAAAATAGTTGTGGACCTGGATGCTCCTAAATTGTTTTCCTTTTCCCTCAAATTGGGGACAAAAGAGTCAATACTAGCCACAAAGAGAATCTGGCCCTTCCTCTCCCCCTCCAGCTAAGCTGTAAAGAAAAGTGGCAATAATTTCATAAGTAATGACAAACCAGAAAGAAAGATTTCAGTTTGATCTAAAGTGGTATGAAGGAGGAAAATAATTCTAGT